ACCGGGAAATTTGCCCCGGTCTTCCTCGTTACGTTTGGACTACTGCTCGCTGCGAATTATGAAGGTGAGTAAGTGATTGTTCTTTGTTGCCACTTTTCTTTTCTTTTTTGTTTGTTTGTTTGTTTGTTTGTTATGTGAGTTGGAGGGGGGGGGGTCGTTTCTTCTTTCCTATCAAACGTCTATCGTCTTTATCTCCCCTCCTTCTTTTTTGTGTATGTTACTCTCTTGTAACACCTCTAATCTTCGGCACTGATATGACTTTATTGTGTTGCTAATGCCGTAGAACTCTTACTAAAACAAACAAGGGGTGGTTTTTTGTATTTGTGTATTGTTGCAAGAAAGGTTTGTGGAACATCTTGTAAGCCGGAAGCTTACAATTGAATGGTAATTGCGTCCCCTCGACTTGAACCCCTTCAGCTATTGCTATTCCCCCTGGGTGATTTCTGAATAGACAGAGTCTACGGAAACGACCCACAAACAGGTGAAAAGCTGAACCTCAATGTTGAACAGAAGATCAAAAGAATTGACCCAGGACCACGTCACGCGTACTGGAGTAAAGAAATAGTCAACACCCGGAGCATACAATTTAAATAGTCACCTCTCTCGTTGACTTTATTTGGCAAAATCACTTTTGATTAAGTTTGTTTTTAAATGCACAAACAAGTTTTTTTTAAATAGAACAATATGGTTGATCTGTAAGAAGACGTAAAGTTTTGCATTTGGCTCAATTTTAACTGAAATTCTAAAAGCGTGATATTTTTCGCAAATGTAAGTTATGTTCACACTGACAAATTATGACGTGTCCGACTGGTGGAATTGTATTTGTTCGAAGTTTTATTGAAATTGACTCAATGACTATCACGTTATTGACTGGGTCCTTTTTAGACACCAGGTGTACACAGTAAAATAATTCTTGGAAACATAAAGGAACGTGTAGGCGTCAAAGTTAATTGAGAATAATATATTAAAAGCATGTGATATTTAAATGATACAGTTTTGAATGCTGATTCACATTCAATATCATAGCTTCTACAAACTGATACACTGGAAAATGAACATGTTCTTGGATAGTGTGATAACGAATAAATGCAATGTAACGTGTTGAAAAGCTGTAAATCCTGTTTGTAATATCACAAGCAAATACGAAAAGATCAAGGAAGTTCAGAAGCTTGAATATCTAGAATATTATTATTATTATTACATCTGATGCCAAATAAGAATAACAATAGGCAAAAACAGTTTCAATAAAAGTCAGCCCATTCTTGATAAACAGAAGCCTCTAAGTCTCAACCAAAATATGAGAATTATATAAGGCCATGTATGCTGCTGTGAATACTGATCAGTTACAAAAAAAAGCGATTAGAAATTTGAAGCAACAGTGTGATTTATGTTGAGAACTTAATAGAAGGGAAAGTAATCAAGTTATTAAACTGTCTCGTTTATTTCTTTTTCTTCATTTTTTTTCTTATGGTAGATTTTTCTCAGATGGATAGAATTATACTTACTGCAAATACAAAAGTGTCCCAAATTGCAGAACGTGATAGGTCTCTAATCAAAACCACCAGGAAAAGACAACTAATGTTCTTTGGCCTCATAATTAGAACAAAGAGATTTTAACTATTACTTTCGTGTATAAAAAAAGAGGGAAATACGAGCAGAGGAAGACAAAGGGGAACATACGAATACAGCCTAAACAACAATATGACAAACAATACAATCCGAAAAACTGACCTGATTACGAAAGAATCGGGTACTATGATCGTCACTATGTGCTTCAGATCTGACAACTGAAAAATATTCATAGATAGAAGTATACATAGATGAGGACTCTAGTGAAAAATCGAACAAGTCAAGTTTTATGGAATGAGAGAAAATGGAAATATAAAGTTTGAAAGTCGGTATCTTATTGTGAGTTTAGCATTTTTTAACCTTACATAGCACAGAACTTAGGTGCATGGGATCATTTACGGAAAAGAAACTTCGATTTTTAAAGACCAAGGGAAAATTGTGTTTCTTAGATTGTGACTTATCTGCAGGGGGAATCTTCAGACATATTGAATATCTGTTTTGCCACTGGAGTCTTCAGACATATTGAATATCTGTTTTGTCACTGGAGTCTTCAGACATGATATAGTATTTAGAGAGGGTCCTCGGGAGGAGGCGGGGTCTGGCCCATGATCATGTCTGAAGCCTTCTCGGCTATCATGACAACCGAGGCGTGAGTATTTCCGGACACGATGCTTGGCATTATAGACGCGTCCACCACACGGAGACCTGCAATGCCCTTGACCTTTAGATTAGGGTCAACGACCGTGGTTGGGTCACTGACCTTTCCCATTTTACAAGTCCCCGACGGATGGTAGATGGGCAGTAGACGCGCCCTCACCACACAGTCCTTGTACGCTTTTGAGTTGAACTTGTGCTCGCTGCAGATGCTCAGTGGCTTCGTGTCCGTCAGCCTAGCACCGACGGCTTTCAACGGTTTTGATGACGCCAGTTTTTGGCAAATTTCCATCCCGAGAACGATGCCGTCTACGTCCATCTGTTCATCGAGGTAGTTCATATCGAGCGCTGGGTACTCGAAAGGATCGCGAGATTTTAACCGAAGTTGGCCCCTACTCTTAGGTCGTAGAAAATTGGGCGCGCATGTCAATCCGTATGACGCTGTGTCCCTCTGCTCCTCCAGCTCTTTGGAGACCTGGCTGCTCTGATGAAGGGTCTGTAGTATCGGAGTCTTAAGCACCGAGCCCGTGAACAAAACCTGTACGTCGGGCCAGTCTTTTTGCTTCAGCTCCTGGGACGTGGCTGTAAACGCCATGACCTCACATCCCGAGACAGACAGAGGACCTGTTCCGAACAAACTGTACCGAAGCAATGACCACAGTGACGTAACTGACGACTCTGAGACTGTGATGGGTTTGTCCACTGCGATCGGGACGTCGATGCCGAAGTGATCGTGAAGGTTTTTCCCCACGGGCAAGTCCGTCACAACGGGAATTCCCATTTCTTTCAAATGCTCCATAGGGCCGATCCCGGAGAGCATAAGGATCTGAGGCGACCCCACAGCCCCGGCGGAGAGAATCACCTCTTTTCTGGCCTTCACCTTCACCTTTTGACCTCGAATAATGACCTCGACCCCTGTTGCAGCCTTTGTGGCTTGATCAACGATGACCTTTTGCACGTGAGCATCCAGCGTGACGTGCAGGTTCGGACGTTCCAGAATGGGCCAGATGAAAGACTCGGCGGTGTCCGTGCGAACTCCATTCGCCGTGGTGATCTGGGAGCGAGATACACCCATCATTTTACGCCCATTGTAGTCAGGGTTGTACTCAAACCCGATGTCCTTGAAACCTTCTACGAGGACATCTCTTATCGCATAGGAATCCATGATTTTGGTTACGCCGAGAGACCCAGACGAAGAATGGAACCCCGGTTCTATGTTGTCTGGATTTGTTATCCGCTCTGATCTTTTGAAGTAAGGAAGAACGTGCCTGAAATAAAAATTTTAGCCAGATGTCTTTACTCACGAAAACAGTCGGTTGACTGAGATATCTAGATTATCCGATTTTCTCTCTTTCTTTCTCTCACTCTCTCTCTCTCTCTCTCTCTCTCTCTCTCTCTCTCTCTCTCTCTCTCTCTCTCTCTTTCCCTCTAACGTTCCCTCTCGCTCTCCCTTTCCCTCTCCCTCTCTCTCCCTATCTCTCCCTATCCCCCTCTCTCTCTCTCACTGTCTCTTTCTCAGTTTCTATCTTTCTGTCTCTGGCTCTGTCTATTTCTCTCTGTCTTTCTTCTTGTCTCTCTCTCTCTCTCTCTCTCTCTCTCTCTCTCTCTCT